CAGTTTCCATTTCTCTATTAAGATTCTCTATTTGTTCTCTCATTAAGCTCATATTTTCTTTGAAATCCTTGAACATATTTATAATAGCTATTTATAAGTCTTTGTTGGCCAATTCTATTATCTCTGTCCATTTTGGTAAGCTAGTGTTTCTACTGGTTATGGGCCAAGTTTTTCTGCTTTATCTGTCTAGTTATTTTTTATTGTATGCTATACTTTTATAAATGCTACATTGTTGAGTGTATTTTGTTGTCCTCCCTAGTAGAATTTGAGTTTTGTTCCAACAGGCAGTCAATTTACCTGGGGATCTGCTTGATCTTTTCAAGGCTTCTTCTTTTTTTTTTTTAACATTTCTTTTTTTATTTTATTATGTTATGTTAATCACCATACATTACATCATTAGTTTTTGATGTAGTGTTCCATGATTCATTGTTTGCATATAACTCCCAGTGCTCCATTCAGTACATGCCCTCCTTAATACCCATCACCAGGCTAACCCATCCCCCCACCCCCCTCCCAAGTGTATTTGGGACAGGTCTAAGGTAGTTTTTGTTTTGTTTTGTTTTTTAAAGATTTTATTTATTTATTTGACAGAGAGAGACACAGTGAGAGAGGGAACACAAGCAGGGGAAGTGGGAGAGGGAGAAGCAGGCTTCCCGCTGAGCAGGGAGCCCGACGTGGGGCTCGATCCCAGGACCCTGGGATCATGACCTGATCCAAAGGCAGACGCTTAACGACTGAGCCACCCAGGCGCCCCAGGTCTAAGGTAGTTCTTACTATAGGGTCAGATTATGCCTACTAATAAGGCATGACCTTTCTGGAATTTCGACTGAATGCTCAGGGTGTTCAACAAGACATCTCTACTCTGGATGTTTGGAACTCACACCTCTCCTAACCCAGCCTTGTGTCATCTCCGGCTGTTTAGAATTCAGCCAAAGTTGGATTTTTGGAGTTCCTTCTCTGCAGAGCTTCCTTTTCTCAGGTACTTTGCCATGCAAATTCTGGAGGGAGAGAGGCTCAATAGCCTTGTTACCATAGTCCAGAAAGCACCTCTAGGCAGAAAGCCAGGGTGAGTGTGGGGGCTCACCTCGTCTGTTTCTCTTCTCTCAGGGACCACTGTAAATTTCATGCATTTTATCCAGTTCTATAGTTTTTTGTTTTGTTTTATGGCAAGAGGCCTAGGGGTGCCTGGGTGGCTCAGTCGTTAAGCGTCTGCCTTCGGCTCAGGTCGTAATCCCAGGGTCCTGGGATCAAGCCCCGCATCCGGCTCCCTGCTCAGCGGGAGGCCTGCTTCTCCCTCTCCCACTCCCCCTGCTTGTGTTCCCTCTCTCTGTCAAATAAATAAAATTGTAACTCAACACATATCTTTAAAAAAAAAGAGGCCTAATCTGCTACCAGTTACTCTGTCATGACCAGAAGCAGAAATCCCCTTCTTTTGTATGTTTACACTTCCATTTTACACATTCCCAAAACAGCATGTAGTAATATTTTTGCATGTATTTTTAAATTTTTACTTAAGTGGTATTATATTCATATTCTTCTATATCTTCCTTTTAAACTCAACATATATATTTTTTTGAGAGAGAGAGAGAGAGGGTGGGGGGAGGGGAGAGGGAGAGAGAGAATATTAAGCAGGCTCTATGCCCAGCACAGACACCGAGGTGGGGCTCAATCTCACAACCCTAAGATCATGACCTGAGCCAAGATCAAGAGTCGGACACTTAACCAACTGAGCCACCCAGGTGCCCCTAAACTCAACATATTTAATTTTTCTAAAAGATTTATTTATTTATTTATTTGAGAGAGAACGTGTGTGCATGTGCACAGGGAGGGGCAGAGGGATAGAATCTTTAAGTAGACTCCCCACTGAGTGCAAAGCCCAATGTGGGGCTCGATCTCATGACCCATCAGGTGCTCCCAACGTATTTGTAAAGACCTGTCCACATTTATGTATTCATTTAGTCACTTAGATATTTGGGTGTTTTTGAGTGTGTATTAAGTACAAGACACTGGGTAGGCAATTTGCACAGGATGGAAAAAGTTGCACTCTCATGGAGCTTAGAGTCTGGGGGCAGGGATGTAGGCAGATAATAAACAGATAAACAATTCATATATAATGTCACCAAGAAGTGCAATGAAGAAGAATGAGGGGCACTTGACTGACTCAGTCAGTAGAGCATGAGACTCTTGATCTCAGGGTTGTGAGTTCAAGCCCCATATTGGGTCTAGAGATTACTTAAAAATAAAATCTTAAAAGAAAAGAAAAATGAAGCAGAGTAAGTGGATGCAGTGTGACTGGGGAAGGGCGACCAGACCAGGTCTCAGCAGAGGTGATATTTGAGCAGAAGCCTGACCCAAGTGAAGGTGTGAACCATGCAGATGTCTGAGGGAAGCCATTTCCAGGAAGAAGGCATGAGGATGCTGAAAAAAAAAATAACATGTGAAAGTTTTAAGGAAGGGCATGACGTGATCTCATTTATATTTGAGAAAGTTCTTTCGAAGTTCTTTCGGCTGGATGAAGAATGGATATTGGGAGGAGGTAGGGAGGCTGCTGTAGTAATCCAGGCAAGAGATAGCAGGAAATGATGGGGAGAAGTGGTCTTACTTGGAAAGTAGTTTACAGGCAGGGCCAACGAAATTTACTGCTAGGTCAGTATTGAATGAGGAGAAAGACATTTAAAGAATGATGCCAAAGTTATTGGCCTAAGGAACTAGACAAATGAAATGCCCTAAACTGAGATGGGGACATTTGGGGCGGCAAATGAATAATTCTGCTTTGAACATGCTACTAGGTATAAGATAACTTTGAGGTAACTAAGGGTGGATGTCCTTAGTTGAGATTGGGATTGGAGATAGTGTTTCTGTATAATCCATGTACAGATGGCTTTTAAAGCTATGCTGCTGAGTGAGAACCCCTAGGAACTGAGTATGGAGAAGAGACACCTGAGCCCTGGGCATGTCTATACTTAAATGTAGGGTCTTCCTCTTATGGAATCCAGCAAGAGACTGGTAAGAAGTAACCATCAAGGTGGGAGGAAAACCAGGAGAGTATGGAATCCCAGAAGCCAGTGAAGGCAGGAGTGACCTACTGTGTGTTCAGAGCTGCCAAGTGGGTACCTGTGGAGGTCATCAGTGACATATAGTAATGCAGTTCATTTTAACTGCTGTCTAGCATTCCATCACGTGAAGAGAGAAGGCTCCTTCCTCTGTCTCCCATCATTTAGGTGAACATTTGCAGTGATCATTCCTGAACAAGCTACTGATTTGAGCACATGTAGCGGTGTTTCTCTTTGGAGCCTTTCTAGGGATGGAATCACTAGATTATTAAGAAAGATATGCACAGCTTCAACTTGACAAAACAGTGCCAGATTGTTTCCCAAAATGATGGTGCCATCGTCAATTCCTATGTTCAGTGTTCAAGAGCCCCCACTGCTTCACATCTTTGCCAACATTTGCTATTGCAGACTTTAGAATTCTTGCCATTCACATTTTCCTGAGTCCTAGTGAGATTGTGTCTCTGCCATTTGGGTTTCCTTTTAGGTGACCCACCTGTTAATATCCATTGCCCAGTTTTCAAGGGAGTTGTCTTTTTTGTTTGTTTGTTTGTTTGTTTGTTTGTATGATTTCTTTGTATATTCTGGACACTAAACAATGTCTTTTTTTTTTTTTAAAGATTTTTTTTTTTTTTTTGAGAGAGAGAGAGAGAGAGCACATGAGAGGGGGGAGGGGCAGAGGGAGAGGCAGACTCCCTGCCAAGCAGGGAGCCCGATGTGGGACTCGATCCCGGGACTCCAGGATCATGACCTGAGCCGAAGGCAGTTGCTTAACCAACTGAGCCACCCAGGCGCCCTAAACAATGTCTTTTAAGTACATTGCAAATATGTGTGTCACACCCAGTCTGTGGTGTGTCTTTCTAGGGTTGTGTGGTGTGTGTGTGTGTGTGAGAGAGAGAGAGAGAGAAATATAAAAGCTTTTAGTTTTGATGAATCAAGTCTATCCATTTGTTTTGTGTCTTATTTAAGCAACCTTTCCCTACTTGAAGGTCATGAAGATACTTGCCTATCTTTTGTTCTAAGACTTTTAAAGTTTTGTTTTTTTTAGTTTATATATGTTACAGTTAATGCATCTGAAATTTATTCTCTGTAGGGTGTGAGGTAGGGATCTTTTATGTTTTTTGTTTGTTTGTTTCCTATCATGAAGGCCAGGTGTCCTGACCTCTCCAGCCTTTTCCCATTGATCTGTAAGGCCACCACCATCACATCCACTTCCCTACTGGGGTCTGGGTCTGATTGGGCTCTTTTTTCCTGTTCCACTGATCATATTGCCCATTCTTGGACCCATACCCTGAAGTTTTCATTATTGAACTTTATAGGAAATTTGATATCTGGTAGGGTCAGTTGGGCAAAAGGAGGATTGTTTGCTTTTTGCCTTGAAGTCACTTGTCTTTAAACAACTGTCCATCGTGTACTTAAAATAGCACTGGCTGCACTTAGGAAAATCTATTTGCCACTCACATTTCAAGAACCGATCTGTGGCATGAAGGGGGCGGCCCTCACTTTTCTGTGAAACTCTGGGTACTTTTACTTTTGGCTTTCCACACCCCTGCCCCGCCAACTCTCACCTCCGGTTTTTCAGGTTATGATGTCTCTGAACCATGGGGCCGCTCTTCCGGTATTTACACGTGGTGGGTATTTTGTGACTGGGCTGCGGTACCAACTTCATTGGTTATTGCCAACCATAGTGACAGGCCTGATGGGTTCTGGGGTTTCCTGTTGCCTCACCGGCACTGAGACCCTGGATTCCAAAAATAGAAGCACAAGAAACCACCGTGACCTCACGGTCCCTGCTTGCATGGTGCTCTGAGGGCCAGGGCTGTTTTCGCCCCCGCGGCCTGGCCCAGCCTGGGCCCTGCTCCCCGCCAGAGCAGCGTGCGGTCCGAGTGGTCTGGACGGGCTCTGAGGGCCTCCCTGGCTGAGCGCCGGCTCTCTCTCCCCCTTCTGCAGGCCAGCTCCCGCAGGGCCAAAGTGGCTCCAGCCAAGAGGATGAGCAAGTTCTTGAAGCACTTCACTGTCGTTGGGGACGATTACCATGCCTGGAACATCAACTACAAGAAATGGGAGAACGAGGAAGACGACGAGGAGGAGGAGCAGACGTCACCAGCACCTGCGTCCAGCGAGGAGGGCAGAGCCCCCGACCCAACGGCGGCCCCCGGCCCCGTGCCCCGGCCCCCCCTCGACTTCAGGGCCACACTGAGGAAGCTCTTCAGCTCCCACAGGTTTCAGGTAGGTGGGCAGAGGCCCAAGATGCCCGGGGTGGGGCAGAGCCGTCAGCCAAGAGTCACGAGGCCGGGGTGGGGGCCTAGCTCTGCCACCGCCCCGTTCGTTCGACGTCCGTCACCTGAGTACTAACCCTGTGGCAGGCGCCCCGGACAGCGCTGGGCAGATCCCGTGCCACCGGGGATAAAGTAAGTCACTGTCCCAAGTCAGTGCAAGGTCTGTCACCTGAGGAGTGAATGAACAAAACGTAGGCTGTCCACACTCGGCCGTGAAGAGGAATGAAGCAGTGGCCCCTGCTGTGAGTGGATGGACGCTGACAAGGTGACGCTCAGTGAGAGAAGCCAGACACAAAAGACCGCATGTTGTCTGAGTCCGTTGATGCGACACGTCCAGCAGAGGCAAATCCAGAGAGACAGACAGCAGACTGGTGCTTCCAAGTTGGAGGGAGGGCAGAATGGCAAGGGGCTGCTTAATGGGTACAGGTTTCCATGTGGGGTCATCAAGACGTTCCAGAACTATTCAGAGCGGTGATGCTTGCACCACCTTGTGAAGGTGCTTGACGCCCCTGAACTATACGCCAGCTTCAAAATGGTTCCAGTTTTGTTATGGTAGATTTTATGTTGTGCAGATTTTACTATACCTACACAAAAAGTAAACAAAGGGTAAACACTGGAGGCAGAGAAAACGTTCCTGCATTCATTCGGCAAACATTGAGTGCCTGCCCTGAGCTGAACAAGGCCAAGAGGGTCCTGTGCCTCCCAGAAGTATCACCCTGGGGGCTTCAGTCTCCTATTTTGTGGAGCAATCTGCCTGGTGTAGTCCACAGCTGACCTCCGGGTGCGCTTACGGGAGAACACGAGAGGGACACGCAGACTTCAAAGAACAGCGAAGGGTTCTTTGTCGGCATCTTCCGACTTTGAAGGACAAAAATGCAGGTTGAGTGTGGCGGGGCCCTGTCTCAGCCCCCAGCCCTGGGTGTCTGGAAACCTGTTCTGAGGGACCCCGGAGAATGCAGGAGGCCCAGGACACTGGGGAAGCATGCAGGCCCTTGTCAGCCCAGGTCCCGTGGAGCCATTCCAGGGACCCTGTAGCAGGTGTCCTCCTAAACCGAAATAAACCAGTGCCTCCCTAGAGCTGACTTCCCTTCTGGAAGCAGAAACAGCCCTTGCCTCTCCCACCACGGACTTTGTTCCAGGGTAAAATAGAAAAAAAAAAAATTATTTTGGTCTTTTTCTCGCTTTCATGTAGCTTAGAGAAACGAAACAGGCCAAACACCCCCAGCAGGCCTCGCAGCTCCGTGCGTTCCTCTGTGGCTGTGACAGGAAAGGAAACGTGGTATTAAGTTGTTGGGGTTGAAATCCCAAACCCTCAATTTCAGAAGCAGAAGGAAGGAGCCAGTTTCCTTCCAGCTGCAAGGGGAATCCTGGGCCTCCCTGCTCTGGGAGGTCCTTCATCTCCTGACTGGGCCACAGGGCTGCCCGCTGAGCCAGGACCTCTAAGGACAGTCCTCCTGGAGAAGCAGCTTGACCACTGAAACATAAGCAGAGATGCTTAGTCATTCACTGGACAGTGATTTCTTGAGCAGTTACTTCTGTGTGCGGGGGACAGAGCAACAAGCACGGCAGGTACACCCCTGTCCTTACTCTCGGAGGACCAATGGTCTGTGGAGAGTCAGGCACTCCAGGAACCATCATCACCCAGACTGATGGTGATTGCAAGTGAAGAGAAGCCCTCTGTAGGGAGACAGAAGGGGGCTCTGGGAGATCCTGGCAGTAGGGAGACACCTGACCTAGGATTGGGTGTCAGAGGACGTGTGGTGGAGGAAGCGACATTTCATCTGACACCTGAAGGTTGGGCAGGGGTGAGCTCTGTAAATGTGGAAGGGAGGAAGTTTCCAGGCAGAGAGACTGTGTTTGCAAAGGGCCCAAGATAGGAAAGGATCTGCCGCATTCCTAGAATTGAGAAGGGTCCTTATGGCTTACGTGTAGCAAGTAGAGGGAGACCTTGGCAAGAGAGGAGGTACTAGAAGGTCATCTGTGGGCAGTGGGTGGCCACGGAAAATCTACATGTATGGGTGGGAGGGAGTGACAGGACTAGATTTGTAGAGGGGCTCAGGGGGACCACCATGGAGCAGGGATACCAGTTCAGGGGTTTGATCTCAGCCAGTAGAATCAGCGTGCAAGAGGATTCTGGAATCCCTTTCTCGGATGCATTCTCTCTACCTGTTCCCATGGTTTGAAGCAGCCTAGGTGACCTGATACATAGTTAATTGCCATCACTTCTCACATAGGATGGTACAAGCAAGGGAGAGAATACAGAGTGTGTTGGGCCTCTGTGGAATCCATGGGTGGACAGGGTAGCTGAGCCAGGGGAGGATAGTCATGAAGGTCAAGGAGCTTCACTTCATTACCTGCTCACCATGGCGGAGTCCTGGAATAAGTACCCTTCACGTGTTACCTCATGTCATGCTCCCACTGTCAATTTAGGGTGGAAAATGTGGTCAACCCCATTTTCTCCAAGAGGACGTTGAAGCTTAGCATTAACACCGGAGGCTCATGGGTCTTGAGAGATGTGCCCAGGGTCGAGGCTAATTCGGGAGCTGGCCCAGGGCTCGCAGCCCCGTAGCCGGCGCCCCCCACCACTGCATTCTCCGGCTGGGCCCAGCCCTCTTTGCCCCATCGGGACGTGGAGTCAACCAGCTTCCCTGAATTCTGGGCGTTTCTCTTTGTGACGTGACTCCTCTCAGAAATAGCACTGCCTTGTGAAGCGGCAAATTCAGGTTCTCGGGATTAGTTGACAGAGGCCAGGACTGGGACGCAAGCATTGTAGTTTTGTGACCCGGGGTCGGTCTGTCTTGCTCTTCTCAATTGAGGAGGAATTCACATAAAGTTGGTCATTGTAAAGTGAATAATTCAGTGGTGTTTATGTGGCACTTTCACATGCTGTTCAGCCACCACCACTGTCTCGTTCCAGAATGCTCCCATCACCCCAAAAGGAGATCCGGTACCCAGCAAACAATGGGCCCCCAGGCCCTGAGAACCGCTGATGAGCTCTCTGTGTGTACGGATCTGCCTGCCCTGGCCTCTTCACAGAAGCGGATCCGACGCCGCGCGGGCTCTGGGTCCGGCTGCTTTTCTCAGCATCGTGGCTTCTCCGGGCATTCCCGCTGTGGCGCGTGTCAGGGCTGCTTCCTTTTTCTGGCTGAATATTCACTCTGTTTTTAATGTCTCTGTGCCTTGGTTTTAGACCAGATGAGCTCTCACATCCCGTTAGCTCTAAAATAAAACCAAGGATGAAGAAAGAAAGAAAAAGGAAAAACCACCCGCCGGAGGCTTGAATCTTTATCGAGCTGCTGAATTTGGATATGTGTGAAAACGTCATTACTTTGCCATGCAATTTTCACAGTAAACCACGTCGTCAAACGCTTGAGTTACTGAAGTGACTAGCTACGGGCTGAAATGGTCGGAAGGTTTCCTAGTCCATTTTTACCGCGGCCTGGTCGGTTTCAACCTGAGAGCGCAGGCGCCGCCGGAAAACGGCAGATTAACTTGCAGAATCTACCTGAGCGCGTCTGACGTAGGAAGCAGGGCCCCAGGAAGGCAATGGGGGGCCAGAATTCCCAAGGGAAGAGAGGGGTCACAGGGTGGCCGTTGGGGTTCCTCGCATTGATGCCGTTTCCACCACGGAACACCATCACCCCCACCCTGCCATGAGAGCCCCAGCGTCTCCACCACCTCTGTCCCCGTGGGCCCCCCACCATCGGTGAGAGCACACACGCCTGGCACCCTGGTCCCCACCGGCCTCCTCCACCGGCAGGTCGCAGAGCCCCCGAGATGGGCTTTCTCACACCTCTCCTCGGTCCCCAGGAAAGCTCGGACTCCATCCGCCCTGCACCCCGACAAGCCCGCGCGAGCCGGGGCCGGGACTGACGGTTCCAGACAGAAGCTGTGCCGTCTGCACAGTGGATATCACTTAATCCAACTGCCTCAAGGCAGGCAGTCCCTGGAGGGACTTCCATGACTCAGATCTCTGAGGCGGATCTTTTTAATTATCTATTGAGCATCTGTTCTGGGTGTACCCTGGCAAGAAAATCTCCAGAAATAGGAAAATTAAAACTTAAAAAAAAAATTTTTTTTTTTTTTTTGCCATCTAGGAATTAGCAGTTTGGCTTGAGAGATGCTGAGAGACAGTGAATGAATACGAAAGACCGGTGGTGACTGTCACTCAGTGAGCCAGGCAGAACAGCTCTAGGAGGACAGGCACTGCCCGGGGGGCCGACAGGCCTGGAAGGTGCACGGCCGTGGGCAGCGGCCTCCCATCCTTGGCATCTTCACCCAGTGGTTTCCCCTAGATGCTTCTGGCCCTTAAAGATGGAAGGAGGGTCACGTTTTAGGTCTCACGGTTTCTCACTCCTTCCCTCGGTCTGCAGGTTATCATCATTTGCCTGGTCATTCTGGATGCCCTCCTGGTGCTCGCCGAGCTCATCCTGGACCTGAAGATCATCGAGCTTGACAAGAATGACTATGCCGCCAAGGTAGGGTGCTGGCAGCCCTTGAATACCATTCCCTGCACCTTTCCTGAGGTGGGCAGAGAGGGGCAGATAGCACCCTCCTGGGAGTAGCAAGTCCTTAACAGACTAAGTGGACTGGGTGCTTTTAACCAAAGAGCAGGGAAAACGTCTTCTTTCCAAATTATAGACAAGCATTTGCTATAAGCAGGAAACCTCATTTCACTTGATGGCTTGAAGCTCAAGTGGTGCTAGACCACTGAGCTGAGGTGTGTCACTGCTTCTAGAGGGAGGATCTAACCAAGACAGTGACACTGTCCCATCTTCAGCGGCAGACGGGCTATTTCTCGGCCTGTCAACATTCTGACGTGGTCCCTGTGCTGGAGGTCTGCCCACTGTTTATTCTTCAATTCACAGCTGCTGCCTGAGCCCATCCCAGACATTTGTCCAGCCTTCCCAAGGCAGCTGCTAGTTTTTCTTCCGTGGCCAGCCCGAGTCCTTCCACAGATGGATGAATATTTTTCCTCTCCCTCTGCCTTTAATACCATCAGTGACATACCTGCTGTACTGTCTTTTTCTCTTAAGATTTTTTTTTTTTATTAGAGCATGTGCACAAGCAGGGGGAGGGGCAGAGGCAGAAGGAGAAGCAGGCTCCCCACTGAGCAGGGAGCCCAACTCCGGGTGTGATCCCAGGACTCCGGGATCACGACCTGAGCCGAAGGCAGATGCTTAACTGACTGAGCCACCCAGGTGCCCCTGTCTCGTGCCTTTTTCCTCAACTTTTTTTTTCCCTTCAACTTTTTATTATGAAAATGGCAAATATACTTTTCACTACATTTGCTTTATCTCTCTATATATCCACAAACACACCCATGTATTTCTGACTATTTGAAAGGAAGTTAGACATCAGGACACAAATACTTCAATATGCCTAAGGATAAGGTCTTTCTCCTACGGAACCGTAATCACATTATCACACCTAAAAAATTATCAATAATTCCATAATAACCAGTTTATATTCAAATTTCCTCATTTGTCCCAAGAGTATCTGTTATAATGCTCTTTTTTCTTTTTTTTTCAAACTAGAATCTAGACTTCTGATACAATACTTGGTTATATCTCCTCAGGCTCTTTTAATCTAGAAGAGTCCTTCCACCTTTTTTTCCCCCAAGTCCAGCCAGTCATCTCGTAGGATGTCCCATGTTCTGGATTTGTCTGTTTCCCCAGAGGTCCTTCAACTTGTTCCCTTATTCCCTGTACACCAGGGGTTAGGTCTAGAGGCTCAATTAGCAAGAGTGCTTGGCTGGTGGGCTGTTTTCTTTATAGCATGGCATATCGCTATCAATGATACTCGCTGGGATCACAGATGGTAGTAAATGTGAGCTGTTCCACTGTCCAGGGGCACTTTCCCTTTGCAGTTAGAAATGATCTGCACAGTGACACTGGACTACCCTCCAAAGATCCTCTTCCCCAATTAGCATCCACCTGATGGTCACTGTCTGAGTCAGTGAATACACTGGGAGATGCAAACTGAGATTTCTATCATTCATTTCACATCTGGTAGGTGGGTTTTTTTGTTGGTTTTATATAGATAGATAGATAGATAGATATACATAGAAGAGCTTTCCTTTTTTCCCCATATGTGTATGTATCACTAAGGACTCATGGATTTTTTTTTTTTTTTAATTCAGTGTATTACAATCATAGCCATTCAGTTCAGGGTCCAAATTGTCCTACTAAATTTGATCACTCTCTCTTCAGGCTGACTGCTATATCCTTTTAACAGGACTCCGTAGTCTTTGAGCATTTCCTTGCTTTCTGGTCCAAGATAATGTCCCAGCTCACTTTGTATTTTCCCTGCCCTAGAATGGAAATAGTTACTTTAATGAAAACTAGTATTTATAAATCAAGATCTGGCAACCCTCTTCAATTACCATCTACCTTGGTGATCATTTTTAGTCAATACACAGGAGTCAGCCTTGGTCTTTAACAATTGCATAGCGCTCCATATGGAGGTACTGTATTTGACAAGTGTCCTCCAGTAGATATTTCTACAAACAATGTAGAAAACCTTTTGTCTGCAAATGATGCTGCAGCAAAGATCCCTACAACATGCCTTTGTGTTGGTGTGAGCATAGCTGTGGGATGAAATCCTAGCATTGGAATTACAGGGCCGAAGTGCACGGGGGAGGTTTTCAACCTGCCGTTGTCCCACTGCCCTTCCCAGGGTGGAGCAGAGCCCCTGTCTGTGGTGTCCCAGTCGTGGCCCCAGGCGGAGAACAGTGCCGCTGGAGTCTGGGATGGGTCAGATGAATGTGTTCACTCTCTGTGCCCAGGCAGGTGGCTCTCCAGGCCAGCTCGTGGGCATGCCCTGCCCCGGCCTGTGGCCAGCCCTCGATCTGTTCTCACTGTGCCCCCTCTGTTTTCTCCAGGTGTTCCACTACATGAGCTTTGCCATCCTGACCTTTTTTATGATGGAGATCTTTTTTAAATTATTTGTCTTCCGCATGGAGTTCTTTCACCACAAGTTTGAAATCCTGGATGCCATTGTGGTGGTGGTTTCCTTCATCCTCGACTTCGTCCTCCTGTTCCAGAAGCACCAGTTTGAGGCTCTCGGCCTGCTGATTCTGCTCCGGCTGTGGCGGGTGGCCCGGATCATCAATGGTATGTCCCCCGTACCCCCAGGCCGCAGAGGGACAGCCGGCTGGGCAGAGCCCGGGAGGGGACCCAGGCGTCATGGCTCCTCCTCCTCCTGGCTAGTGTTTTCTAGAGAAAAATGAAGTGGTCTGATTCGGCGTCCCACCACCGCCTCTGTGGCTGCAAACTGACACCAAGTTACACATGCTCTAAGAGGAACCACCTTTCTCCGTTAGGCCTTGTTTTCATGATTATTATAAGGTATTTACAGAAAGGGTCAGATGAATCTTTGATTAAGCCCCTCCAGCTTGGTTCCCAGAGCACCTTTGTTTTTAATTTGGTGTTTCCTGAAGAATGTTCTACCAAACCCCATCCCCCTGGGAGGGGCACCACTTGTTGGCATGAGGAAGCCTGAGAACTCTTGAGTTCCCCAAATTGACCAAGTGGACACTTCTGGGGAAATAACACCTGTTAACATGTTGCAGACTTTGGCTCTAGAGAACACACTTGGGGAAATAATGCTCTACTATACTTCAGGTAAAGATCCCATTCCTCACACACACCCTAGTGGTGCAGGGAGGCTCTGTTTCTGAGAAGCCACGTTTCTGCTGTTAACTGCTCAGCTCTCAGTGAATTCTAGTCAGAGGTGCTCAAATGCGTCTGTGAACCCACCGCATCAGAATCACCTCCAGTGCTTCTGGAAGTCTGGCGTAGACCCTCACAGGGTGTCTATTTTTGAAGCGCTACCAGGTGATTTGGGTGTCCCGTCAGGTTTGGGAATCCCTAGACGAGGGCCCAGCACGATAGACTCTCGCACTGCCAGGAGAATGAGTGAGGCGGGCCTGTCCTCTGACACAGAGCTCCTTCGCTTGGCAGCACAGTGAGTCCTATCCCAGTCTCCCCTGCTGGCAGGGCAAGTGTCACATCTCCGATGCAGGGCTGTGTGAGGGGCTCTGCCTGTGGGCACCGTGGGCTCCCCCTGGCTTGAGGAGCCAGTTTAGATCTTCTGATGAAAGCCCATTAAGAGTATTCATTTGGGCTCTGTCAAAAGAAATAAAGGAAGCTTTTCACTTACTACTGAATATGCTTATGCTAACTGATTATTCATCAAACAGAAAAATACTCTGTGCAAAGATTATGTACCACGGAGGTAGATAAACCATGTCCATGAACAACTCATGAATGCAGTTTCTACCCTTTACTCTCGTTATCACACCATGGTGAGATCTGCTTTGCAGATAAAACCAAACATCTGAGATTTGTGCATTTTCTTTGTCTGAATGGTAGCAGGCCATAGCCTGCCTAATGCCCATTGTTGCACTGCTATCAAATTTCGTGGCAGGACATGAGAGGTCTGAAAAAGCAACAGAAGCTTCAACTGGACTCAGACAACCAAGAATGCGGGTCACAAGGGGCCGGTGCTCCTGGGCTTCACGACCACTGAGTCCAGACGTGGTCACTCTTACTCAGACGGCACAGAGCATCCCCAGTTGCGGCACAGTCTTGTGCGGCCACGTCCGCACCGTGGTGTGGGCTCTGGGGAGCCATCAGACAAGGCTGACGACCCCTCTGTCGGCCAAGACTTAGTTGATCGCCCAACAGCTGAACTGGCCATAGCTGTGGAGGCAGAAAACTGGGAAAGTGACAATCCCAAGGCTAAGCTTGAGCATTTCCAGCCTTGCACTTCCGTGGCTTTTATGGACGTGCTGCTAAGTGCTAAGCCTCTGTCGTGAACAAGCTCTGTATGAAGGAGCTTAACACTCATCTGGTCAAGTGACTATAAAGGATTTCTTAGCCCACGCGAGCTGAAGGGAAATATTTCACAACTGGTTAATGAGCAGCTCAGAAATTAAAAATCTGACCTTCCTGGTTCTGATGCCTTTAAGCGATGGACTGTTTTGTCTGCCACCATTCTTCCCAACTGTATACACTTAGAAGGAAGACAGAGGTTTTTTTCAAGTGGTTCAATTAGAAACCTGTATCACTGAGACTCTCAATTATTTTACAGGAATAATTATCTCAGTTAAGACACGTTCAGAACGGCAATTGCTGAGGCTAAAACAGATGAATATACAGTTGGCCGCCAAGATCCAACACCTTGAATTCAGCTGCTCTGAGAAGGTAAGAAGACACTTTTGGGCAAATGCCATCTGTTTGCCTTCAGTACGGTGCTTCTCCCTACGAGGTCCTTGCTCGGATGCTGCCCTTGGCTCAGTCTTCCTTGTTCTTGCAGATTAGCATCACCTCCTTCCCCAGAGCTGTGCCAGGTACCCCTCCACTGAAGACCTCTTGTCACTCCAGCACCCACTAGACCCCCGCTGACCGTAGCGGGCTCTGCTGGCAGACTCCACGGGGAGTATAGCGTTCATTCAGCTTTGTGCCCTTGGGGCCCACTGAATGATTCCCACATCCCTGGTGAGGCGCAGAAGGTAAACTGAGTTATCTGTCTGCTTTTGTAATGACAGGAACGAGAAATTGAAAGGCTGAACAAGCTATTGAGACAGCATGGACTTCTTGCTGAGGTCAACTAGACACGTGCCTGCTCCATCCCGAAGAGAAGACCCTTGCCTCTCGGGCTTGTGCCGCTGACGAGAAAGGCAGCTGCCCCTCTTGGGGCCGTTTCGGGGAGAGGTTTGGTTTGATGCCTTTGCCTCGCCCCCACCCAGCTCAGATTCTGGGGGGCTGAGGAGGAAAGTCTGTGGGAAGGCTCGCTCTTTCTTGGCGTGACCAAGAGCTTCCCATCCCATTCTCACCCCCTTTCACAATGTATCACAAACTATATTTTCTCATGTTAAACAAACAATTGACTCTTGTTTAAAATGAAGGACAAAGCTGGACAACTTGTATATAAAATTTAATCTCATCAAATGTACTTTTCACATTTCGCATGTATGAGGAACCAGTGCATCATTTCATATGAGCATTCTGAAAGACAAAAGAAAAAAAGGAAGCTACCTTAGCTACTAGCCCATTCTAGAAAAGTCTTATCTTCTTAAGCTGGTCTCAACAGCTCCTCTTCGTGCAGATTCCCCCAGAGAGGTTGTTCTCAGGTACCCAGCCCCCTCCTCTGCAGCCTCCAGCTTCTAACTGGCTCTACCTTGTTCTGCCACCTGACAACGTTTTTCTCAATTACTGTACAATTAACGTATAAAAGAAACTCCTTCCCTCGGGCCCTCCTACTCTATTCTTTCCAGCATCAACTGCTTGGAACCGCTCTGTAGCATCCCATACAAACCACGAGATGGAAAGCTCCAGTGCCTGCCACAGAAACAGCAATTAGACCCAAGACTCCATGTAATGAAGATGACGCTGGGGGAAGATCCCCTCATGAGGCCGAGTACTCTACTCGCACGCATGATTTCACATACAATACTTTGCTATTTTTGTATTCATTTCCATGGGGCCTGAACAAGAAAGAAAACCTGAACTACAATGAGTATTTTAAAAAGAACTCACATTGAAGAGGATGCATAAACTGGATAAACCCTCAACACCTGAGCTACTTCTGGGTCTGTCCCCTTTACAATCTTCCCAAAGGTGCAATTTGGTTTCTGCACATGACCTACATGGCTGACAGTACTGGAAATCACCAAGACCAGATGGTGCCCCATTCTAAGGTCAAACCAAGGGGAATAAAATTTCCAAAAGGAGGGGAGTGAGTGAAGAGGGGAAGTGTGTGGTCTGAGGGTAACCCCACGGGTCGGAGGTAGAATACCAGGATGTGTCCAAGGGAGCCCAGGCCCCAGAGCACTCAATTCTAGAGGTGATTAACAACTTACGTCAAACAAACGGAAAGAAGAAATTAAACGGCAGCCTGGCATTGATGGTTGGCCGAGCTCTGAAGCCTGCCTCCGCAGGGGCAGATGCATCCACAAAAGCAACCGCAGTGGAAAGGAGAACCGTCCTCTCATTTCCTGAGTTGGTCTGTAATAAAAAGAGTGTTGCAAGCCCTGCCTTCCAGTGTGCGCTCCTGCGCTCAGGATAACAAAGCTGGGACAGGCCGCATTCTGGAACCTTCCTCACGTGACCGCGGTCAGTGCATCTCCTAGGCATGTGGAGGCGGCCTCAGCCACTCACTTGGGTGAGAGAGTTTTTACCTAGGTTGTCCTAACCCACCAACGTCGGCCACAACTCCATTTTCAAAGAATTTTAAAGATCAAATCTAAACAAGAATGCTAGTGTCAATTCAACTGTTGTCAGTGGGTTTTCTCTAATGCTGAACTGTTTTAAGAATTCAGATTAAATTTCAATAATTTTTTCACAAAATAAATTTCACTATCACACTTGAGTTTTGTCTGGACTTATGTCTTAACCTACACCTTGAAACCCAAGTTAGACCTACCTCAGGAAAGGAGGATGAGAGGAGACTTGCAGTCACGTTTACTATTTTAGCCTGTGGATTCAGTAAGGACCCGTATTTAGTCCACTTCACTTCTATCACCAAAGCCATCGGGAGCTGGCAAGAATCCTGCACAACAAAATGCCATTAATCAATCTGAACATTACACAACCTCATGTCAAACTTAATCTGCAGTTCAGAGTTTTAATTATAAAATGTTTCACATAATACAAAATGTTCTGAACAAGACAGTGAAGAGACTCTAGAAGTTCAGATAAAAACAGCTGAGAGCACGTATTTTAAAGTACTCGATGCTCCAGAAATATTTTAACACCGAAAGCAGCATTTTTCCAACCTCTCCTGTTTCTAGAGGCCAGCATTACTTGGAAGTTGTGGCGATCCCAACACCAAACCATGGAACCTTGGGCCCCAACTTCATCCAGCTCAGAGATTCTTGAGGGGAGAAGCTGGCATGGGGTGGGGGGTGGGGAGGGGGGAATGGCAGGAGTCATAGAAATTAAACCTAATTGCATATCACGTTAAAATGCACCCAGAGGAAATGTAAATGCTTTCTCTGATTTCATCACTTGGCGATTAAGCTGTTACACAGCGGTATACAGCCGAGTCTGTAAGATACTAACTCTCCGTGTGAGCCGAGAGCAGCGCCTGCGCGAGCGCAGGCTGGAGACCTGGGAGCGGGCCTGAGGCCTCTGCCCCAGGGAAGAGTGGCCAAGGGGACCTTCCCAACCCTTTCCCTGCCTTTACTTCGCGTTTGTTGGCAAATGCGAGGACCGCTGAAGCAGCACAACAGGTAGAAGGAATTCCACTGTAATACTCTACTCCTGTGTCTGTTTGAAATTTCCCCACAATAACAAGCTTTTTAAAATATGCCTCTTCAGGGCATGAAAAGCTAGCAAGCAAGCCTGCTAAATTTGGTGCCTGCCAAAAAGGCACTGGTGGAACTCCTTAGCTGGGAACTGCCTCTTAGGAAGGCTGCAGGCTGGAGAAGAGGCAACACGCAGCCCAGGGAAGCTGGGCCTGGCACCTGCGTGCGGGTCTGCTGCCACCGGAGTTTCCCGCAAGGTAGGTACAAAACCTGCCCCAGGCCCTCTGAGCTCCCTGCACAGCACAGACCCCAAAAATGCAAATGTCTGCACTGCCTCTCCTCCCAACCTGTCTTCCCTTCTGAGGGGGTAGTAACAATGTCTTAACCTATCTCTGAGAAGCCAGAAGCAATGTGCCTGGTTCACTGAGGCGGCAGCGTTGAGCCAAGACTGAGCAGCTGAACAGCAGGGACCAAGTAATCCTGGGTCTCTGCTGGGGACTCCGGAGGAGGGCCGGATCAGAGCTGGAGAGTGGGTGCTCACCCCCATTGTCCCCCTGCTATAAATATGCTAAGCAGATGAGAGGCCTGAGAAGCTGCGACACAAAAGCTGGGCAATTAAAGGATAAGATGGAGAGCACGCCTCCAGTGATGGGGACCAGCCCACATTCTGATGGCTGAGACAAAAGAAAAAGGTAGGCAGAGGAATCACGTGTGATCAGGAACCTCTTTGTAGGATGTCAACTTCCATTAAACTCTTTGGGGAACTTTGGAATTGAAAGCTCTCACATGCGGGCTGCCTTTATAGACCAGGGAACAATGGCTGGGGCAGTGATGTGGACTGGAGGAGTCTCACTTCCTGCCACAGTCCTCACACTCTGTCCTATCATAATGCCTCATGTCACACCAACAATGATCGTGGGAATAGTCAGGATGGTGGTGAGTCCCCATGTTTGGAGCAACCACTAGGCCCCACAAATGTTACCTCGTTTAACTCAACAACCCCATGAGGCTGATACTATATAGCTCTCACTTCCTATTTCACAGATGAGGAAACAGGCTCAAACCCTCAAAGGCAAGAGGGCTAACAAAGCACAAAATCAGTTTTCAAGACCCAGGCCCATCTGATAACAAAGGCCGAGTTCCTACCCAGAGCCATCTGCCTCCTCAACAGGTGGCTCCCCCAGCTGCCTCTACCTCCCCACAGGGCGGAGGAGCAGTGGGAGGAGAGACCACTGGCACGTGGCCTTCAGCTTCCCCCTTACCTTCATGTGGGATGCCTGGGTGATGAAGCGGACCGGTACCCAGTCCAGCACATCCTGGGCCTGGGAATTTCCAAAAGGGGCCACATAATCTGGGAAGCCTTGGCCCTTCAGGAGGCTTTTCACTTTCTGCACTGCGAGCTGGCATGTAATGGCTTTGGGCAGTCTTTTGGGAAGGAAAAAGAGGTCGATGGAATGGGGCTGTTGTTCATTCCAACAGTTCTCCAGGCCTCAACAACAGGCATGCCCTCTCCGGTTGCTTTATTTTCTCTCTCTCCAAACGGATTATTTGACAGAAGCCAAAGTGTCTCTAACTCTCAGAAATCCTGGTTGGCCAGGGAGAAACAAAACAATGTTTCCCAAACTGTGTTCCACTGAGAGGCTCTGTACAAGAAGAGTTCTGTGGCCAAAAGTTTGGAAAATATTGCATGCCCATGTCCCTCCTGCAGCACACTGGCATATAAGGGCTCTGAGAAGTCCTTACGGTAAGGAATTGTGTTTTTAACTTTAATTTGGTGTTCCTCAAACATATTAATTGGACCACAGACATAGCCCTACTGACTCTTCAGAAATGTAATCCAAGGAACACCCTCTGAGAAATTCTGGTCTAAAGGGATCAGAACCAATAATATAAATAGTATCTGTTGGTCTAACCAAAACAATGATGTAATTACCCTGGGGGCAAGTAGGGATGGGAAGTGACTGGATGGCAGGGGTAGAGGAAGAAAGGGGAAAGAGCCAAATCCTTGCCTTCCATAGTGGGAACTCAACAATTCATAAAACCAAAGTGTGAGGAAATAGTATTACATATAGGTTATTGACAGATTTGGGAGTAAATTTCCAAAAACTCAGCTACAGGAGTTGCAAGTGATCACCTGCAGAGTGGGGGAAATGAAGGTAAGAGCTGGTGTCTTTATAATAAGCCATGCAGGGCTGTTTGATACCTTACACTCTGTATATGCTAAAAAGATAAAAACAGAGATCACATTCAGGCTTCTTCTCACTGGGTTTGTTGCACTACGTATATTAAAATTCAGAAATACAGGAAGGACTTCCAAGCAAAGTATTTTTACTGTGAACTCAAGTGCTGTGCAACCTTAAGACCTACAAAAGCCTTGGGATTTTTAAAAATGATTGCAACAGTTTTCCTTTGAATCACGACAAATGGTTTATGGTTGTGAAAATTAAAATTAGAAAACAGAAGTACTGTCACTGGTGCTAACAGGTCACACTGTGGCTTTCACAGGCGCTCGCTGGCTGATGCAGAGGTTTGATTAAAACGGGGAAGAGTAGGAATGCTTTGTTTTCTGATCAACACAGACAAGTTCCAAAAGCAGCAAGTTCCTCTCTTACCTTAGTTTACAGCCAGACTGCATATCATAACCAAATAATACTGGGGTCCGGATCCCCTCGACTGCTAAGCAGTCTTGCTCGGCTGTGCTACGAAGAATAGTAAGTTGTCCAAATCTGTTCATGGTCTGAATAATCCCAGATATTCACAGAAAGTTAAGGGACAATCACCCAGTACTAAGGCAGTCTGATTCTCAGGACACGGTGACAAATGTGTGACATGAGACAGGAGTGAAACCCAAATAACCTTCTCCGGGCCTCTGCGATCTTGACAGTCATTTCCCAGGACAGAGCAGAAAATAGTTCTATTTTCCTTGAGTAGTAGATTCTCAGAAGAAAAATCCTCAGAAACTGTTCCTCCAAAATCATTCCACATTTTCCGAAATTACTAAATTTAAGAGTTTCTGCTTGAGTATGTAATTAAATGTATCTAAAAGTCTGTCAACTTTTCTGTCCTAAGATTTTCATTATAAACCACATTTTCCTGGGCCCTGCTATTCCACTCCCAACCACCAGTGTCCACACGGCCCCATCTGCTGTGCAACAGACCCACCACCCACCAGAGCCACCCAGAGAAGTCCTGGCCCAAACGAACCTCCAGCCGACAGGACCCTCAGCAATAAACACACACGTGGACAGGGAAATCAGCCTTCTCCACAGAACCAAAAAGGATATCCCTTCTGAGGCTGAAATCCAGCAGCTAATGGGAGCCCCACAACATAACCAGGGTTTCCACTGAGAGGAATTGGCTTTGTATTTTGCTGAAAGACAATGCAGAAATGCCCCCCAATAATTCTCATTTTAATAAGGAAATAGGGTGAAAATAAAACACTTTTCACAGTAAAATCTGGGATTTCCAACAAATGAAAGAATTTCTCCCCCTACTCAGTACTATAAATATATCTGCTGAGTGTAGGAGTACATCATTCTATAAAAGAATGAGCTCGCATGGAAGAGAATCTTATTCCCGGAAAGGAAAAAGATACAAGGACTCTGCCTGATTTTGTTACAAACACATGCTACATTAAGCCCTTTGTTTAGTAAAAGTGGATAGATGGTTAAGACTTCTAAACAGATTTTTTTTCACTAAGAAGTTACAACTTTTTTACTTGCGATTAAATACATGTACAGGGTGCCTGGGTGGCTCAGTTGGTTAAGCAACTGCCTTCGGCTCAGGTCATGATCCTGGAGTCC